TTTCTCTTGCAATTCACATCACACTTCCCCAGAGCATCAAACTCACCAATCACATTAACAGTATCTCCAGGAGCAACAACACTAAAGTACCTGATAGGAGAGGAAATGTAATGATCCTACATATTAAGTTCACAACCTGAACCATAAGACAATGTAACTACTACTTATGCATAATTTTGACAAATTGATCATTCCAAAGGAGAAAATCACAATTAAGAACATAATAGAACAGAGAGATGAGAAAGGCAACAGGAGCAGGCTACTAGTCATAGGCGGATATGATTAGAAACTCTGTTAAAATAGTTCTGTTTTATGTATAAAATACAAGAAACGACACCAGATATATAGTGGATAAATCTCAAAATTCAGTGAATGGTGAATTCAAGTGTTTTAATATCTTAGCAACCTTTCTTCAGTTGGTGTGAAATGACATACATGAAATTCAGGTGATATTACTTTGGACATTACTATCATCAATCAAAGAAAGCCAATGCTCAAAGATTTGAGTGACATTAAGATTTGAGTGACAATTCCTTAATGGCAAGAGCTTAAGACGGCATGTATTTAGTATAGCATTTGCAATCAACAAATGCATGGAAGTATTAGCCCTACTTCACAGAGTCATTATAGTAATCCTATGAGTAAACATAATAAGATTACTTTTTGCTTTGTAAATCTCCATCAACTCACCATTCATCCCACAGTTGCAAAGTTTGTTCTGTTCCATTTCGTTCATTTAATAAGCGCAGCACCTGAGATGTGATTCCTCGTAAACCAACAGATTATAATGTACTAAAAGGTGTAAGTCACCATTCTAATATTATGCAAACCTTAAAGGATGTTTGAGAACCTGATGATTCAGCACATCCACGCTTCTCTGAAACCTATAGCACAGGAACACAATTATCGTCAATGGCATGGAATTTCCTAATACTCGAAAATGATAGGTTTGAGTGCACACCTCCAACACAAGAAAATTGCAGTTAGAGTCTTTACTACATTGAGTTTGCTGCGAATTGTTGAGCCAGTTGTTTACATCATTGTTTTGACGTCTCTCATCATCTAAAAGCATTTCCTTGGCTTTACATGATGAATGCTCAACAGACATTACATCTTCTACTTGATCTAAAAGTTCTATTAATGCCTGCAAGGGGATGAATATTTTGGGCATTAAAGTTTAATGTTAGATATTTAATAGTTGTGGTCTGAGATATACCTACATATATATACAATATAAGATGGTCAATGATACTACAACGAGTGAAAGAAAATTGGGGAACTAGGGAAATGTTTGGCAATATCACCTATGCCTCCATTTTCATTCCCCACAATAAAACCACACACTTGTAATATGTTTCCTATAACATTTTCAGTCATTCCTATTGACAGAAGACAGCCTTAGAAAAACACACCACCACAGGCACTAACATGTTATTTTGAAACATTTTTCCCCAATACTCTGCCCCAAAAGATCAACGTTGAGTTTAATAAATTAAGAGCATGTTTGTGTATAGAAATTTTTGGTTTTGTTCGGATTTTTTGGTTTGGTTTGGTTAATTTTGAAAAAGGTAGTATGGTTAGTTGTTAGTGGATATATTAAAATAATGTTTAAAATAAAATAATTAAATGATTTGATATAAAAGTAGGAGAGATGGTTTGATGTGATGGTTAGTTAAAATAATGTGAGTGGATGAATAGTGAATTAAGGTTGATGTAGTGTGTATGAATAATTGATTAATATTATTTAATTATATTGATAATAATTGATGATAGTGGGGTTGGGTTAAAGTTGAGTTAAAAAAAAAGTAGTTGAGCTAAAATGTGAGAAATTTTTGGGAAAATTCCATATACAAACATGCTCTAAAGATGATGATGTAAATGAAGATGGAATTTAGAAGAATCAATAACCTTTTTGTGCTGCCTTGAACCCAGCTCATCCAGGCCGCTATCCAAATCCACGTCCTCAAGTGCCTACATCTCATCAAC